TATAATATTGCTTAACTTTTATAAAAAAAAAAAAATAATGTACATCAGTACTATTTTATAAATTATATRTACCTATCAAACATTTATACTCGTCGCGTATTAATTATTGTTCCTTAAATAATTACAAATCGGAAAATTGTACTCATTATATTAAATTATGAACTTTCTAAACACTAACTAACATATATGATATATGATATATCAATTTATAGTTATATTTTCTAATAATATACAAATATAATATCACTGCATTATAACAAGTCATACATTTACATTAATATTAAATTTGTTAATTTTTTTTTTTAACTTTATGAAACGTATTAACAATTGTGTATTATAATTTAAATCGAAATGTTTAATTGACTACCTAATAATTAAATATGGAAAACTATTTATTTATTTTTAATCTATTTAAACATCAGTATTGGTCAGTATTTTAAAATAAAAATTTACATTTTCATTTCTCTTTAAGTTGTATCGAATGTCTGCCACAGAAGAAAAAACATTGTACACCAATTTTTTCTWATTTTTAGTAACAGTTATTAATGTATTTGAAATCAGAGTATCGTCGATTCATGACTTTGCCTATCATAAATCTTTTTATTTTATTATATTTAAGTGGGTACTTATATGTTATTAGTGATATAGAAAATATGTTACGTATCACAATATATTGTATTTATAGGTACACATTTTGTTAAAAGATTAAACACATAGATAACTGTGTTAATATGTTTTTTCATATGTATACACTATACATTCACTGTAGCCCTTAATAGTAAGTCTAAGGTGTAATGTTTGTTGCAAAAAACCTTTGAAATAAAAATAACAGTTAACCCATAACCCACATAACATTGGCTTTAGTGATTTATTGTCAAGATATGTAAACCTTTTACTTTAWGGAAATACATGTTAATAGATTAATAATAATCTCAATTAAAATGAATAACCTGATTTAAAATATATATGACAACTAAGTGAATTCTAAGAAATTCTCAAATCGGTGAAAGCTAAACTTTACAACTAAAAATTTTCGTAACAATTACTATAGGACATGGATTTTGTGTGTGTTAGAAATCGCAATTGAATTGTGTAGTTATTAGCAGCATTTTCATATTTTAATAAGTACTTTATCAAATGACAAGTTAAAATCTGGACGGTTTAAAAGTGTATTGATGTACATCGAATCAGTAAATGGTTGATAACGTAAATAATATATACAATGTAAATTCGAATATTAATCGAAAACTCTCGATGCAACCCTTGGACCGAACGTCGGTAGAAACAAGAGTCTTAACATTTTTAAAATTAACCAATTTAATGGACAAAATATAATATAATTGACAAATTGATGTAACAAAATACTAACTCCACAATAATTTTAAATAATAATTAAGTCACTTTAATCAATGACCCCTGYTGACAAGTTGTATTTAGGATCAATAAAAAAAAATTTAAATAGGTTTTCGTGAAAAATTTATTAGAAAGAAAAGAATTGTTATGTCTAYATTTGGATAAGAATTTAAAAAAAAAATGTATAAAACAAACGAATTGTTTTTTTTCAGTTTTTTTGTTTCATATGATGGGTATCACGTTTATAATATCATAATATAATTTTAGACATATATTGCTCTACCTAACTTTATCTATATTATATGTATATACAATAATAAGTACTATAYGTTATCAATAAAATGCAGGTGATGGTTAAAGGAAAATACTTACTGCCATAGCGAAGAAGCCCGCTGGAGACTTTGACGAAATATAAATAAAACAAAATGCGAACGCGGTCCACGTTCAGCACCGCACTCAATTGTCTCTGGATAGGAATTGAAAATTATTTAATACCGGTTTTTGTTTATATAGGTACGGCTGTAAACAGGTAAGGAAACAATAATATATACATATCGTTATCGTAAAAAAAAACTCACGTTCACATACAAACACACACTCGAGCACGAACACATTTGTGYAGATGAGAGTGCGATGGCGAACCGGTAGGGAGATTGTGTGCGATGCTGTGCGTGTGTGTGTATGTTTAGTACCGCGGTGGCGTTCTCACTATATTTTTCCTCAGCAACGGGCTCGACGAGACAAGGACACTTTTATGGCATATTATTATACATATTTTGTAAATTATTATTAGCGGTAGTAGGTATAATTATTATCGTGTCTGCGAAAAAGACGACTGGAGACCGTTTCGGTACGATGACAATGTACATCAATAATATTGCAGTACAAGTACCTATCTAATATCGGTAGTGTTGTATGCCAGCTGACACCTGTACGATTTGTTTGATTATTTATTTATACCTACTACCTAGGTATTTGGTATCTACCCAAGACGGTGATTCGCTTTTTTCCGCCCGACCATTGAGATCACCGYCGTGGTGCTTTAAAATCACTTCCGACGTAGTGTTCCCATATATATATATTATTTAATTTGAGTAATTTGACCTTAAAGTCCATCATCGGAGAAAAGTACGAAATCTTTCATGTACAGCAGTCTGTAATCGTCGGTGTTGTACCTCAAAAGACAAAAACGTATAAAACTAAACATATTATTATATTTTTAATTTTTCGGGAAGTATAATGCATTATTATCGCAATGTAGAGGTATATTTCCTGATGAAATTATTGTTCAAATATTCATCTAATGTGTGTAAATATTGAATTCACTTTTTCCATTTTTTTTCTTGCAGGTAATGTATTAATGTCATATAAACAAAACCTTCACGATTTCAACGGATCAAATTTGTTATGTTTAGGCATATAATAAATCATGAAAATAAATTTAGAATTTAAAAATATTTTAAATATTTGGTTGACATTGAAACTGCTATTTATGTGTGGTTATAAAAAAAACAATGAGTCTTCAATTTGTTACATTTAGATTATAAACAATTCAAAGTCTAGAAGTATAGGTATCAAATAAAAATATTAAAATTATATACCCTAAAGGTGGAAACATGTTGACTCATAGAAAATGTACAAACTCTCAGAACTCTCTAATACGAACTTAATGATAATTTAATTTCATGGTCAAAACTGAAAATATTTATAGAACTAATAGTGTCATAATAGGAAGTTATAGATTTAAATAAAATAATAAGATAATCCTACATTGGCTATTATAGTTTTCAATTTTATTTAACAAAACAATAGCTTGACATTCACAATACAATATTACAATATWGTAATGCTTTTATGCTCCTGTTCCTGCACTGTATTTTTCGAAACCGGGTTGATTTTTAATCAAAATATCTGGACATTTTGTTTTTAGAATAACGATGAATGATTTAATGAAATTATATAAATAAAAATTATTGATCCAAGCGGATTTTCGTATGTTATACATATACATTTTTAAAACAAATTGTAGAACAATAATACGTATTTTAATCTATTCGAAGGTCTAGTASAATTAATAGTAATATACTTGTATTTACAGGGATGACTAAAAGTTTAAGTAATAATTTAAAATAGTCGTCAACCTTTTCATTTAAATATATATTATCTGTTAATCCTTGACGACTTATCTATAACTATTTTTATGGTACAATACAATATGTAATATATTATATATATATATTTATAAAAATGTCAAAAGTGATTTAAATCATATATGATTTWAATTTATTACACCACAACATAAAGGTTTATTAATAAAATGAATATTTTTCCAAATATTCATTGTTGTAATAATAATTGTCTGATGATGGGTTTGACCAACACTTTTGGATTGTGTGTAGTATAATCGATAAATATTTTTCACGGGCAAATTTGTGGAAGTTTGTACTTTTTATGGGATACTAATAATTTTATTTAATAAAATAAATTATATTATTATTTTAATTTCGTAGATTTATGTCAAAAACAAAACGATATTGATGATCATGTTCATATATTATATTATACATTATGTTGGACACGCTGTTGCATACTATAACTCATATAGATTTGAATTTTGAATGGGTATATCTGTTTAAAAACCAGTTTCGTCCGAAGATGTTATCGTCATTCTCTGTAATAATATTCACCGACATTTTATATTTTTTTAGTTATAAACTTTAACACCTAAATTAAGAAAAAAAAATTCACAACACCTAAATATGAGTTTTTATCCGTCAATAATAAGAAACGTTCATAAAAACCTARTATTTAACAAAATCAATAAATTATTAAAATTCTAATACTCATGCTTAAAAAAATAAAAATATGAATATGCTATGATTTATTAATACTCTCAACAGTAAACACTCACTAAAAATACATTATTATCATATAAGAAACTAATGATTACTATTATGATGTATAGTTTAATTTTGTGCACATAAAATAATTTATATGGATACAACAAGTGGTATTCGTACCTTACTAAGTATAATTCTTAGTTAATAAATACTTAAATACTTTATACATTAACATTTAATACTTTAATATAAGACATCGTGTCACATAATTTTATAAATTAATAAAACTTTGTAAAAGTTACAAAAATAATTTGAAATTGGATTTTGGTATTTTGAGATGTGTTGAAATAATATAAATATTTAACAGTTGATAAAAAAAAAAAAAAAACACACAATTCAACATGAGTATTATCTTATTATTGTGATAGCTTATAATAATTGGTATAACTGATATACAAAATAAGTTAAATGAAAATATTTCATCTGTAGTTCAAATATGTTGCAATTTTGTGTTTTTAAAAACTTGTAAAATTGGTACCTATCAATTGAAGTTAAAGTTTAAAATAATTTCATTTATTGTAACCAGTATTTTTTTGCTATTTTATTTTACTTTTTTGATGGTAAATAACAAGTTTTTTTAATTAATTCGTATCTTAATATATTTTCTTGCTCGATATTACTTATTCTTGTAATTATATTATTTTCCTTAGATGTATTWTAATGTTATACATGATTTGGTAATACTTACATACAAAATTAAATATATAATTCATAATTTAAAAATCCCAATGCAAGTTCAAGGTTATCACTTTATCAGTGGTATGTTCTAACTAAAACCACCGCTATAACTCATAAACATGTGACTCAACACTATAACCTCATAGAAAGGAAATTGATTTCCATTGGTTGTCATTGTTGAAGTATATAATTCAATGCATTAATTAACGTACCTATCTCCATTGGTTATTTTCTAATTGTATTTTATTTAAGTGATCGCCATAAAGGATGTTTTTTGCACTCCCGTAAAGTCTTATACTTATAAAATGTCAATAAACTGTTATTAATTTAACCAACTACCTATTATAATTTATTTACAACAAAAAATCGTTTTTTTATAAGTTTGAATTTAAAGAACTGGCATTTGATTAATTAACAATTAATCATCTCAAATTTTAATAGCTTAATTATATATTGTGTTATACTTAAAATACATATTTCAATATACATTTATTTATTTAATTAATGTTTAATAATATCTATGTTGATGGTAGACAAGACCAGTTTTTATGTTACAATTACTATTCTCACGCGTATAATTATTAATTATGATTTATAAATTATAAAATAAAATAACATATTTTTTTT